TTATTATTATTATTATTATTATTATTATCATTATCAGTATCATTATCATCACCATCATAATTATTTTTATCATTTTACACAGGCGTTCACAGAAGGGATGGCGCAAGGCAAGCATTGTTCTAGAAGAGATTGTACAGAGTCTTCACTCTTGCAGTCTTGTCGTCTGTTTTGCCTGTTGGATACCTTCGCTCCTGCCATCAATGGGGACGTGTCACGTGATGACAATGGTTACGTCTCACGTGATGTCACTGGTTACGTGCCACGTAATGTCTATGGTGACATGTCACGTTATGTCAATGGTGACGAGTCACATGATGTCAATGGTGACGTGTTACATGATGTCAATGGTGACGTGTCACGTGACGAACAATCACATTCCTCGTGCGTGGTCTTTCAGGAGCCAGAGGGCGCTGTTGTCGACTGCCGGTCTGAAGCTCTTAAAGAAGTGCCAACTCATGAGATCCCACAGAGCGCTGTCAAGCTGTACCTTGATGACAATTCCATCGAAGCTCTGCATGACAATTGCTTTGGCCCACTCCCACATCTCAAGGTTCTCACCATCTCTCGAAATAAGCTCAAGTTAATAAGTGGCTGTGCCTTTTGTGGACTGGCTGGTTTGGAAGTCCTAAACCTGGAGAAGAATCAACTCGACCTCAATGCGTCCATGTGGGAAAATGAGCCCTTCAGAGGTCTGTCTCAGCTGACAACTCTTAACTTACTGGACAACGAGAGTGGTTTCTGTCAATGTGAGTTTCACAGCCGTTTATTGAGTGGGCTTCATAGTCTGGACATTTTGTCGCTGGATACATTCAATGGAAATCTCACCTTTGGCGAGTTGTTCGCTAATATGACGTCACTAGATCATCTCATTTTAAGCGGAGGTGTCAGCACGTTAGTGAACAACTCATTTCAGAGCCTTCAGAGCCTCGGACTAAAAGCACTTAGCTTGAATCATCTCCACAAATTACATACTACAGAGCTGGATGCCTTCCAACATTTACCTAGTCTCCAGTCACTAACAATTCTAGATAATGACCAAGGTGTAGAAGGCACATTACGGAGCTTGCATCCGTTTCGAAATCGTTCCATGAAGACCTTGTATTTTAACAAAATTCACATATCTACGTTTGAAAAAGGACGCGCTAAATGTTCTGATAGTGTGGTAGACGCTTTCAAAGTGGAATTTTTGTCCCAAATCTGTGTTGAACGTTTTTCTTTAATGAACAGTGGTGTGACAACTGTGGAGAGTAACGCTCTTCGCGGATCCCTGTGGCGGAAGTGTGTCAAGTTTTTAGATTTGACAGGTAATCCGCTGATCGGAGATCGGGTATCTTTTTTACAAGTCATGGGGTTGAAGGCATTACGAGTGTTCAAAATATCGGTTACAGATAGAACAACTCTAAAACGATCAGACAACAATTCAAATAAGAGATCAAAAGAATTTCGCGGCAGTTTGAAGGAGGGGTTAAGATCTTACAAACCAAACTCTGACAAAAGGCTTCCTGTTAGGGCTGTTCATGATCCAACAACACCAATGTCGCTTCCTTCGAGATTTGTTCCAACCGATGAAATGGAGGGCACAGTTGTGCGTTTACGAATTCCAAAGACACTTATCATTTTTCAGGTGGAGAATGTTTTCCATGATGGCTCTTCGGATACTATTTTTAAAAGAATAATTTTCTATGGAGGGGAAAATCTACGAGAGATGTACTTTTCAGGCAACGACTTTTTTGACTTTTCTGGGTTCATAAAGGGCTTGAGAAATGTACACGTTTTTGATATTTCTTTTAACGATTGTTCCAAAATGTCTCGAACAATTTTTCAGCCTTTTCCGAAAATGAAATACCTCAAAATGAAAGGATCTAAGTTAGATAGCATGTTTATGTCCAGGCACAGCGAACAGTTGTTCCAACCTCTGACATATCTGAAGTATTTGGACTTGTCAGACAACCAGCTAAATCATCTAGCCGGAGGAACTTTCCGGGACAACTCTCAGCTCCAAACAATTAACTTAGCAAACAATCGGTTCACTGCAATCCCACTGGATCTGACTGTTCTGCCTAATCTAACTGACTTAGACCTCAGCGGGAACTCTATTTCCCAACTTGACCAGAAGGACATGCAGTCAGTCGAACAACACGCTAGCATGTTTATGGAGTTCTCCCTCCATCTATCGGGAAATATTCTGGTGTGTACCTGCTCCAGTATCCAGTTCCTCGCCTGGCTCCAGAACACAAAGGTCAACTTGGATAGACCCATGACCTACAGCTGCCTCACGGAGGACGGGACGCTGACCACCACTGCTGACTTTGCTGACATCAGAGCTCTGTGGCGGAAGTGCCATGGGAGACCCGCACTATTGCTTTCTATTATTCTTCTGTGTCTCATGTCTCTTGGATTCGTCATCACCATTTTGTGTTTGAAATTGAAAACACAACTCAAGTCCTTCATCTATAGAATTTTCGTCCAAAATTTCGTCCTGCACGGCCCGGCTGACTATCGGCATGGCGTTTTCATTGGCTACGCTGATGCTGACACAAGGCTGGCCTGCTTCACTCTCAGAGATTTCATCCAGTCTCGACTTGGTCTGTCTACCTATGTCATGGACATTAACTTACTCCCAGCCTCCGATATGGCCGAATCTATTGTGGACGCCGTGAGTTCCAGTTGGAGAGTTGTCTTAATCGTGACGTCAGATTTTCTGGACAGAGAGTTATGGTCGTATTTCACCATGACAACAGCTGCCTACACTGTCATTCCGTCCAATCCTGGTCTGATCGTTGTTTTGCTGGAGGAAACCGTACACCATCGGCTCCCAGCCTCCCTTCTCCGTGTACTTGAGGAAGACAGCATTCTGTCTATCCCTCCCTCACGACGTTTGTCACACGAGCATATGCACAGACTACGAGACCTACTTCAGCCTGCATAAACATAATTATTGTGTCCTGAAAATGGGAAAATAATTATTCAACATATATGTCCTAAAAATGAGAGCATATTCAACATAACCAAAAAAAACTTATGTCCTGAAAATGGGAACATATTCATAATAATCATGTCCTGAAAAGGAGAACAAAAATTATTCAAAATAACCAGAATAATTATGTTCTGAAAATGAGAACATATTCAAAATCTACGTGGGCGAAGCTTGAAGAAAAATGACTCTTTTCAAAAACGGTCGTATCTGTTCGATGTCTTTGAGAGTTTTCACAGTTCTACAGTTTGTATTAGCGACGTTACCCGCGAGGGTTTAGAACATGATTTTTAGGTAGGCCTGACGTTGTCCAAAACACTTTCGCCTATCTCAAGCAACATTTGGGAAGAAACATTTTATCTGCACCCGTTTGCAACAAACACAATCACTTACACACACACACACACACACACACACACACACACACA